CCCCACCCCTGCATCCTAGACCCATTGTAGAAAAGAGTTTCTGGATACCACAGGTCACCTCCTTTACCCTGTCACATGCTTTTTCTGAAATCATCGGTTCTCACCAGCTCTCACCATCATACATCATCTGATGGACACCAAGTCTCAGCATCTTTTTTTTTGTTTTGTTTCACTTCACTCTTGTGCCCAGGCTGGAATGCGATGACACCATCTCGGCTCACTGCAACCTCCACCTCCTGAGTTCAAGCAGTTCTCCTGCCTCAGCCTCCCAAGTAGCTGGGATTACAGGCATACACCAACATGCCCAGCTCATTTTGTAATTTTAGTACAGATGGGGTTTCTCCATGTTGGTCAGGCTGGTCTCAAACTTCTGACCTCAGGTGACCCTCCCACCTCAGCCTCCCAAAGTGCTGGGATTATCGGCGTGAGCCACCGCGCCCGGCCACATCTTTTCTAAGCCTCTCAGCTTCCTCCAGTAACAACCATCACTGCCATGACCTAACACAGAAAGAAGACATTTTGTATAATGGGCTCAACCGAAGAAACTCACCTGTAGGAAGTTAATTAATACATTCAAGAGTATGGTAACAGAAGCTCCTGGAGAAGCTTATGCTTCACTGCCAATGATTGACCATAGATCTATAGTTTTCAAAACATTTCATGGAGCCCTAGATTTGAAAAAAGATGCTTCCATGGGTGGTGGCAATCAGACCAAAGGGCTCTGGGTCAGCCATTCCCAGTGTGCACATGCATACTTATGCACATATGCCTGCATGCTTGCACACGTGCACACACACACACAAAGGGAAATACGACCTAATACATGTGAACTTAAAATTTAAGGCACTAAACAAATTTGAAGAATCTGATGGCAAAAACAATACTAGAGTACAAAAATAATTTACAAAATAGGCATTTTGAACAGTGAAGTTCAAAAATTAAACAAAACCAGGGAGATAGCTAGAAAGCACCTCAGTAGCAGAAAAACACAAGGAAAGACAAAATGAATTAAAATAACTCATTGAAGTTGCAGCAACAGAAACTGATGAAATCAAAAGCCCGAATAACTCCTCTTTAGTTTGCACCCATCACCCTGCAAGTCTTAGCTTAAGCACTGTCTCTGGGGGGGCCTTCAAGCCCCACCCTCCCGATTTCTCCCCAGGGCCTCGTTCTCTTCCTTAAAACATAGTCACAGTTTATTTTTTCTTTCACTTGCCTCGATGTTCATTGTAAATGTCTCTGCAGTGTGAGCTCCCTGTGGACAGGGACCATGGCTGTTTTGTTCAGCCCTGCGTTCCCAGGGAGAATGCAGGCCATGACAGCCACCAAGGAAACAGAGGAACAGAGTTGAGCCCTGAGGCCTTGGGTGGACAGGAAGTGGACACACTGGGGGCAGCTGGACAGCGGTCCACACACATCCACACACACCTGACCAGCAAGGCAGGAGGGAAACCAGGGTATGGCCACTGAGGTCACCACTCCCACAGACCATTGGTCCACAGGACTGGCACCAACTCAGGTACAGTGTCCCTTATCACCACCAGTCACCAAATACTTCCACAACCTATAAATAAGTTGAAAGATGAATTTAAAGCAATTCATGAATTAATGAATTAAAAACAACACAATGAGTGGACAAGAAGTGGAGGTCTGTGCCCTGAGAGGAGGACCAGCGCTAGAGCTGACTGCACAGAAGTCAACAGGCCTCACAGGCCCTCCCCTTTTTTAATGCTCATTCATTCCCTTACCTCTGTTTGCTTTTATTTTGTTTTTAACAAAGTAAAAATGTCTTTTGTTGTTCCTGAAAAAGCTGTTCACTGTGTCATGGCTGCCCAGGAAATCTTGGAATTAGCCTTCCAAAGCTAATTCCTCAGGGAACGACGCCTCCTTTTCCTACCTCCCACCTGGCTTCTGGCATGGTAGCTTCTTCATCATTCTCCCAAACATCAGAACTTCCCTCTCTCTAATTCCACATAATGAGAAATGTTGGTAAGTGTCTTATACTAGGTAATCACAGAGTTGCTCTTGGGTGTGAGGCACAGATGTATGATTTATCTCCAATATGTATTGATACAACCCCATGCAGACAGTCAGCAGGCCGATGCCCAAACGCTGTAGCTATTTATACCAGGCCTGCAAATCATTGTGTAAGCACCGTAGGCCCAGCCACAGACTAACCCGGCACCCTCTACTCTGTCCCGCGTGCCTTGCTTTCTTTTTAATAGTCATCATCCCCAGCGTTTTATAATTATGTATCTGTTCATTATCTCTACCTCGACTAGAAAATGTAAAACCTATTAGAGTGTGAACATTCTTTTCACTGTTATATGAAAAGTGCTATGAATAAATGTGTTGAATTAGGAATAGAAATTAAGCATTGAGAAAAACAAACACCAGAGTCTTCTCTGATGGAGTGATCATCCAGCAGGCAAGGCAGACAAGTAACTATATAATTATTTGTGTGCTCATAATTGGGATAATTATCTTGATTTCTCCTTTGGAAGCAATGTGTTCAAATGAACAGCTATTTAAACGTCTAACAGTATGTTTCACTTTATTTAAGAGATAATTGTTTCATGACTGTCAGAAATCGCACTTCGCAGAGAAAAAAACAGAATACCCTCCAGGCCCTGACAGATTATTACCTCAAAATAGTGCATAAAATAGAATTAATGTTATAATCTTTGTCATCTAAAAGCAAATTATGGAGGGAGAATGCAGGAGAGATATTCAGCAGTGGGGGAGAGACATGCTTTTAAAATGTGTAACTGTTAGAGAAGAGCCAGAAATACCAAAAGTAGACAGACTTGAAAAAGGTCAGTGATCTGGGGTCATCGAGAACAAGAAGATCTAATCCACATGTCTCCGTAGCTTCAGAGAGCACCAGGTGTTCAACATGTCTTCAGGCCCCAGGGAAGACCCTGAATCTTCAAGACTGCTTGAAGTTTAATATATTTTGTATAATCCTTCTTCACTTATGAGAACTTTCCCATTCTAAATTACAGGTAGAAGTTTAGATGTGTAAAGACTTTGGTCATTATTTTTACATACCAAGCGCCAATACGTTTATTCCTAATAATCTGCTATAAACGAGGAGGTTAGGAAAACCCAAACAAGATAACAATGACAGGACATCCAGTCTCCGAGGCAGAGCTCCGAGCCGCTCTCGTCTGAAGAGCAGTGCTCTCCTTCAGCAAATGGTAGGGGAGCCGGATGTCAGGAGGGAGGTCAGGGCATTAGCCAAGACGCGCTTCCTCACCTTCAGACGCCTGCAGGGAAAGTGATTCAGGAATAGACAAATCACCACGTTTATTTTTCTTCCAGACATATATCTTCTGGTTTGTCTCTTTCCGAAGAATGCTCAGGCACAGATTACAGCTCCTATTGATCCTATAATCCCCTTATTAATGTGAAAGCTCATCCACTCTCTGGCCAGGCAATCTCAGCTCTTGGACATTTTTGTCTTTTCCTAACAGTCTGTCCTCACTGATGATTCTTTTCTTCCATCATCAATCATTCATCACTTTCTCCCACTTTTCTTTTTCTAACCATTCTTATTTCTCCCCGTTTTACTATCTACTGCTTTCTTTTCTTGCATAATGAGAATTCTATTCAGTTTGCCGAACCACTACACGCTTAGATGTTTATGGATTCTCACACACATACATTGTATAACCTGACTTCCAAAGGAAATTACAGGCGGCCCCCTGCAAGTCTCCTGTTTGGTCTTTCTTTCTCCAGCAGAGAGGTTAAGAACAGAAGGTTTCAATCAGAAGACCTGGGTTAAACCCCTAACTCCTGCTCACCAGTTATATCATCTTGGTCAAAATATTAAACCTCTCTGGGTCTCAGTTCTCTCATATATGAGGATAATAATACCTATTAAATTATAGTGAAGATTTTCCAAGATTATGCACTTATGAACTTAACACAAGGCTTGGCACAGCCTCCATTCAAGTGCTTTACCGCTTATGGCAACCCCATCGCCTCTGGCTTCACGTCCCTTTCCCAAGGCTTGAGTTAACCTCCCACTGATGACGCTCAGTGCAGACACTTGGCTCTTCACATCCAGGTTCCTTCCCTCTATGAGTTAAGAAAGGAGTAACCCATCCATGGATTTCAAACCTAGATGAGCATACAAATCACCTGTACAGTTAAAGATATGCAGATACTGAAACTTCACTCCAGACTTACACAGTCATATCTTTAAGAACAGTGATGTGCAACCTGGACAAAGACCAGCCCAGTCCAGGTTCGCATTAGCTCCAACTTGCCATGAGTCTGTGATCCTAGACTCACTCTGTTTCCTTCTGACTACCTGAAATCCAGTCATTTCATGCTCAACAATGTGAAAGCCAAGGCCATATACAAGAAAATTATTAAATTCTGCCTAGCAAACTTGCACATCATTCTCAAGACTATTTCCTGGGCTACAAATAAAACACTAGGACTGAAAAGTGGGTTTTTAACTCAGATAAAGGCAAGGAAAAGAAACTGTTTGTGAAAGACTATTACAGATTCCAAAACTCTCCTTCCAAGACCCCAGAGAGGAAACTTAGAAAAGCAAGTTCTTACTTATTAAGGCGCTTTCTGTAATAATTGTGTAACATCTGTCTCATGCAAAAAGACACTGAAAAGATAGCCAAGTTATTTGTGGTCCCTGCTGTGTGGGAGGAAGATAGATACCTATAAATCTTCTAGACATGACCAGACAGCATCAATACACTTGAATGATGGCCCAGCACTAACATAATTAAGAAGAATTAATCCCACAGACTCTGCAATGATAGGTGAGTTGTCCGTAAGAGCCTTGTCAGCACTTCAAATATTTCTCAACTGACAAAGATCGGACATTCGGGAAAAGCAAATATATGCAGTCAGACACAATCTGACAAGATCTACTAAGATGAATCAACTTCCCAACCCTGGGGGAGAAAAGGGAAAAGGTCTGTTAGGAAAGCAGACGGTAAGCAAAGTTTTCTCTCTCAGACTCTGGAAGTATGAGGAAGGTTAACCTCACAAATGTAGCTGATAAGGAAAAGACCCAGAGTGATTTTACTACAGGACAGGAATATAGGCTGTAGCAGAACTACTCAAAGTGTGGCTTGCTGACTGGTGCCAGTTCACAAGCCGTTAGTACTGGAGCTTAAGTCAATGCCATTAAACACACATTCAGTTTCATCTTCTTTTTGTTTATTGCAAGACTCAATGAAGGAGGCATTGTGTTGCTTTACATTTTGATTACAAGCTCTTAATCTCATCATGGACGTGTAACAATCTGCCATCATCTAGAGTGACACCCATCTAGAGTGGCACCCACCTAGAGTGGCCTCTTGGCTCTGATAGCTTCAGCCCTGCAGTGTGTGCTGCCCAGATCCCTCTTTGAGAACAAGGTGCTTATTCCTCCAGCTGGATGTATCACAGGTCCAGGAGTTACTCTGGACCAGAGGGAGATGACTCACCTAAGGCCACCCCTTCTTCTTGGAGACAGCTTGCATCCAATGATGGTTTGATGTAGGAGTACAAAGACCTGTCTGCCATGACTCAGTGTGGACAATTCTTAGTCTACCTGAGGCCTGTGTTGTGATTTCTTCTTCCACTAAATCCTGTTCCCTTCACAATTCACAGGTATTGTTCACGATAGACCATCACCTCCCCTCACTGAACTTCCTTAATGCAAATCTCAGCATCTGTGTTCCAGAGGACTCAACCTGTGACATTGTACTACTCATGGAAAACATAAAGGATTCCCATGGTCTGAAGATAAGGCAGGAACAGCGTGAAAAGGCCTTCAAGGTTCTCCATGACATGGCTTCACCCATCTTTCTACAGTATCCCAAAGTGCTGGGATTATGGGCATGAGCCATCAGGCCCATTCCTTTTAATTGCTAGAGTTGTTGCATAAATCAGTGCCCTCACTTTCACCTGGACCTCATCCAAATCTTCCCCAGTTGAGAGTCTTGGTTATTGTAATGCAACAGGTCAGGGCTGATAACCAGCCCACTGATTTCCAATGGCAGGATTTTTACATTCATATAACCATGAGGCAATCCAATTTCAGAATCCTATCTTGAAGGTCCGCTTCATAGGGTCACTTTCAAGATAAATTTTGTCAATCTGATTCCCAAGAAACTCTGATTAAAAGAAATTTTCACAGAAAGTTTACTTTGGGTGGTAATGCCAAGAAGCAAAAAGTGATTCATGGAATAAAATCAAGTTATTAATCTGCCATAGACAACTGGAGCTCAAACCCAATGGGAATCATCTAGAAACCACGTATAGTTTCTCCAACACAGGATGGAGAGGTTGGTTATTTATCCACCAACTCCCACCCACTGTTGGCTGAGCTTTCCCTGGAGGCATTGACTTCACTGTGCTCTGGGTTTTACGAGTGCATGGCTGAACAGCTTTGAGCAGCATCTGAGAAAGCTGATGGGCAAGAGCGGCAGTGTCATCTGCAGTTTGTAATGGGGTCATAGGTGTGTGGAGCTATCCACATAGCAGTGCTGAAATCCAGTCTGGGGCGGTCATACAGAACATCACCAGCATCAGCTACAATACCTGGAAAGACACATGAGTGTCAGAGAGTGCGAGATAAACCCCAGGAAGTTCAGGAGCCTGCCATGTGTTTGTACTTCCTAGCAGCACTGTCCAACAGAACTTTCTGCACTGATAGAAATTTCCTATGGAAGGGCTATCCCACACAGTAGCCTCTGACCAAGCATGACTCTTGAATGTCTCTGACATGTGGCTAGTGTGTTAAGGGGACTAAATTTCTATTTTATTTTATTTTATTTATATTTTAATATCACCATGTGGTTAATGATTACTGTACCAAACTATACAGTTCTCGAGTACCAGTAATCCGAAGCATGTCAGGATATCCCTTCTAGGATAAGAGACAAGTTATTATACCTTGCACTGCTCGTATAAAAAGAGATGCATCGTACTTGGTGAACCTCTTGGTATTTGGGAGCACATATATACTTGGGGAATTCTTTTCCTATCTATGTAAGGAGTAACAGGTAATAAGGCTTCCAGTTTTAAGAAGGGCCTAGAGCAATAAAAGTCACTACAGTGATTCCAGCTGCAGTCCAAGCTGCCTCACTATTGACACTTATAACCTAGCAGAACCAATTATATTGGATGTGTCTGCAGCAGAAAGAGATGATAGATGGGCCTCTGGCCACCCCTAGTAGCAGAATCCTAGGGTCCTAGAGAAAGGCTGTGTCCTCCAGCAGCGGTGCGTGGAGCTGTCCACATAGCAGTGCTGAAACCAGGTCCAGGGCCATCATACAGAGCATCGCAAGCATCAGCTACCATGCCTAGGAAGTCATGTGAGTGCCAGAGGGCAAGATAAACCCCAGAAAGTTCAGAAGCCTGTTATGTGGTTGTACTTTCTAGCAGCACTGTTTGATAGAATTTTCTGCACTGACAGAAATGTCTCATAGATGGGCTATCCCACACAATAGCCTCTGGCCACACATGACTGTTGAGTGTCTCTAATATGTGGCAAGTGTGATTGGGGGACTAAATTTGTATTTTATTTTATTTATACTTTAATATCCCTATGTGGTTAATAATTACTGTACCAAACCATACAGTTCTAGAGTACCAGTAATCTGAAGCATGTCAGGATATCCCTTCTAAGATACAAGACATGTCATTACACCTTGCACTGCTCATGTAAAGAGAGATGCATGGTGCTTGGTGAACCTCTTGGTGTTTGGGAGCACATATTCACTTTGGGGAATTCTATTCCTATCTATGTAAGGAGCAGAAGGTAATAAGGCTTCCAGTTTTAAGGAGGGCCTAGAGCAGTAAAAGTCACTACAGTAGATTAAGCTGCAGTCCAAGCTGCCTCACTATTGATACTTATGACCTAGAAGAACCAATTATATTGGATGTGTCTGCAGCAGAAAGAGATAATAGATGGGCATCTGGCCACCCCTAGTAGCAGAATCCTGGGGTCTTGAAGAAAGGCTATATGTCCTCTGGAAACAACTATTCTCCATTTAAAAAGGCACTCATGACCTGTTTTAGTCTGAGCACCTGATAATGGGAGGTCAGATGACTGAGCATCTCAAACTGCCACTTCTACATGCACCATGGAGAGTCAGTGCCAGAACTGCATGAACTGGGTATTTTCTAGTTCACTAAACCATAAAGTTGTACATGCACAGCAGCACTTTGACTAACAGAATGCTTCACCCAACACAGTATGGCCACAGTCCATGGCATATGTGATGTGGCAATGAGAGGGCTACTGAATATCACACTCATGGAATTTACTGATCTTCTGAGTGCCTAGCACCTGGCAGCAGCTAGTGAGATGAGAAGGCCTAAGGAGGGCCTGTTACAGGCCAGCTAGAAGCTACACCCTGCAAGGCTAGGTGCTTCCTGCTGGATTCAGTCTGTGCTTTGCCTGTGACCAACAAGTAATGCCTTCTCCCCCATAAACAGATGTCTGTGAACAAATGAGTAGAACTGGGAGGACCCTCCCACCATAATATCAAATAACCCATGGGAATAATTTGTGCTTTCAGACACCACTCCCACCTTCAAGCTTAGGCTGAGAGTACGAGGTGCTCAAGGGAGGAATGCCGCCAGCAGAGAAAATTGTCACGGATGGGATGAGCTTAAGTCTGAGGTAGTCCCCTAGTCATTTGGGGAGCTTAATGCTGTTGAGCCAACAGGAAGAGAAAGAGATCACAGAACTGGTCAGGATGGTTAATCCCAATTATCTAAAGGAACTGGAGTTGTTGCCACACATCTGGGCAAGGAAGATGAGGTGCGGGTCCTTCAGAGCTCACTGAGGCACTCTCAGTTCTCCCTTTTCCAGCAGCTCTTGTAAATGGAAACGTGCATCACCTAATAAAGACAAGACTACCAATCATTAAATTCTATAGGATTGAAAGTTTGGGTCACCCCATTATGTAAAGAACCATGCCCATCTGAAGTGCTAATGGAGATCAAGGAGAATGTGGACGGGTGGTAGGAGAAGTCAGCCACAGTTATTAACATCAGTCTTTTTTTGGGTTGGGGGAGACAGACTCTAGCTCTATCCCCCAGGCTGGAGTGCAGTGGCACCATCTCAGCTCATTGCAACCTCCACCTCCTGGGTTCAAGCAATTCTCATGCCTCAGCCTCCCAAGTAGCTGGGATTACAGGTACCCACCACCACACTTAATTTTTTTGTTTTTAGTAGGGATGGGGTTTTGCCATGTTGGCCAAGTTGTTCTTGAACTCCTGACCTCAGGTGATCCATCTGCCTTAGCTGCCCAAAGTACTGGGGTTACAAGCTTGAGCCATGGCACCCGGCCATCATCAGCCTTTTAACCAGCTACAGAAAAGAAGCTTTGCAAGCTATATCTTAGGTAAATTAATATTTATTTCCCCTGGCCTTTTCTAATACAACATTCCATGAAAAACTCTGGTGGCAGCACAGGTAGACATTAGGTGGGAGTGATGGAATGTGACACTCCGTGATGGCACAGCAGCCAATTCAGATTTGTGTGTCCCCATGTCCATATTAGGGACATGATGTTTTCACCTGGATAAAAATGAGAGTGGCTGCTGTATGGCAAAAGGGGTGAACAGCTTCTCTTTGCCCTTCCACACTCCACTGATCTCCCTGCCTGTGCCCCAGGATACTGACCTTGGCAGAAAGTCTCCTGCTTGCAGTTTTGATGTGGCCAGTGGGCATCATTGTCAGGCTGCAGAGAACAGGGAGATTGGGGGTACTTATTTTCTCAGCTTCCCCTCTCCTGGGTCACCATGGACTTGCCATATATCTCTATCAAAGACTACGACTTTGTCAGCGTCTCTCTGCACACAGCTACATGCTCTGGATTCAGCTGCCCAATCTCCTTGAAGGTCCAGGAGTAGTAATGGGCCCATGGCTGCTAAACCCAGGTTCCTATTACTCCTTCTAAGCTTCCTAAAACCTGCCCTGGCCTCCTACACATAGTCTCTTTGCTAAATTCCCCTCCATTTCCCGGTATGAATCTGCCATCTGTTTCCTGCCAGGATCTGACGAATATGCTTCTGTAATTTACGTTTTTATGTAAATAAAATCTCGTAACAAAATATTTGTTCTATATCTTACAACTGAGAGAGTCACTTAGCGGTTGCAAAACATCTTAATGTCTAATGAAGTGGGCCAGCCCCTAGAGACATAAAAACGCATGAAGAAATCACTTCTACAAGGGAAGCCCACCGTCTGCTGGAAGAAAGTCACACTGATATCAGTTACAGCAGTGCACAGGATGTTCTGAAGTCTGAGAGTTTGCACTGATAGAAATGTCCTATGGGGGAAATGGCCCAGTGGTCCCTGGCAGCAGAGGGAAAGGGGCGTCTACCCAGAGCAACAGGGTAGGGTTGTGGAGAGCAGGTAAAAAACTGAATAGCTTTAGGGAACAAGGATCCCAGGGAATGAGCAAGAAATCTGAGAATGGCAGATTCCTAAAGGGCCAAAGGAAGGTGGGAGTGACGTGGGAGCAGCGTGTCAGTCACAAAGCACCCATGTCATCCAGAGTTGGATGGACACTGTTTTGGAGCACAAAATTCATCCAGTTTCTCTGCTAAGTGAAACAACTAAAGGGTAGATGCATTCGCTAAGTCACCCACTGTAGCTGTTTCCCCAAACATCAAGCATGAGTAGGGAGTCTCCCCAAATGAGTCTCTTAAGTTAATACTCAATTTTTAGTGTCTTCCAAGCCTTTGCTGAAAACTTTAATTCTTGTGCTTTTCAAATGAACCCAGAATATGAGAAATTGGTCACTAAGAGCAATTACATGCCTGCTTCTACGTGGCAAGAAATTGTCTTAAGAGTATTACATGGCTTTTCCCTGTGAAATGTAATCTGTCGCTAGGCTGAGAAAGTGGGCTGAGAACAAATCGATCAACAAGATAATAATTCTCAGTGCAGCCCCCAAAGCCGCCTCAGTGGCCAAAGAGAGATAACGTGCAAGGAGTGCATGATCATTCTCCAGGTGTCACAGGCTCATGAGTGGACAGGAGGAACAAAGACTGGGTGATGTATTCCCGGCAGGTGGGAATGCAGGTGCTGATTATGTGCAGCGGTGAAAGGCGAGGGTGCCAGCACTTCAGAGACAGTCATTTGTCAAGGGACAAATGTTTAATCTTCCTGTCAGCCCATTATCATAGCTAAACAGTTTGAATCTGGCTTCATCACTGATTAAAACTGCTGACAAAGAAAGTATTGCTTTAAAAGATCAAGCATGGCAAACAGTATGTATATCAAATGGTTTATCGCAGGGCAGATGGGAGTGTCCAGAATCAGAGAGCCAAACCACATTTCCTCCCCGGGTGAGGACCCACAGAGCCAGATCTTCATCACATTGACAGTCCAGGACTTCTACGTGCACCATGGAGTCAATGCCAGATCCACGTCACATTGACAGTCAAGGGCTTCTAAGTCCACCACTGAGGGTCAATGCCAGACCTGCATCACACTGAGAATCATACACTTCTGTGTGCACCATGGAGAGTCAATGCCAGATCTGACTCTCACTGAGAATCAAGTGCTTCTTCACTGTTGAGAATCAGTGCCAGATCTGAGTCACACTGAGAGTCAATGCCTCCTAAGCACTTCCACATGCACCATTCCACCTGCATCTGGCGCACAGGCCCCTCCTCGAAAATGCTACATGATTTACAGATATATAATGTTTTTACTTAATAATCATGCCTCTGAGTGTAGAGCACTTCATGGTTTTTGAGATCCTTCATCATACATTATTTCACTCTATCTTCACAAAAAAGTGATGCATTAGCTAATTGCAGTAGACACATTTGATTAATCAGGGAACAGAGACTTTAAAAAGTAGTGACTTCCCCAAGTTCAAATATCACCTTCCCTTCCCATTCCTCCCCCTCATTCTCGTCCTCCTCCATCTTTTTTATGACCATTATCTTCACTATTATTTCCTTCTCTCTTTAATTAAGTGGCTACAACATGCAGATTGAGCATCCCAAATCTGAAAATCCAAAATCTGAAGTGCTCTAATATCTGAAAATTTTTTTTTGAGACAAAATCTCACTCTGGCACCCAGGCTGAAGTGCAGTGGCACAATCTCAGCTCACAGCAACCTCTGCCTCCTGCGTTCAAGCGATTCTCCTGCCTCAGCCTCCCCAATAGCTGGGATTATAGGCACCTGCCACCACACCTGGCTAATTTTTGTATTTTTAGTAGAGACAGGGTTTCACCATGTTGGCCAGGCTGGTCTCAAACTCCTGACCACCAGTGATCCACCTGCCTTGTACTCCCAAAGTGCTGGGATTACAGGCATGAGCCACCATGCCCAGCCCAAAATCTGAAACTTTTTGAGTGCTGACACAATGCTCAAAGGGAATGCTCATTGGAGAAGCTCAGATTTTTTACTTTGAGACTGGGGATGCTCAACTAGTAAGCAAAATACAAATATTCCAAAATCTGAAAAAGTCCGAAACATTTCCAATCTCATGCATTTCAGATAAGGGATACTCGACATGGCTATTTCCTTTTTCAATATACTCAAATGTGGATATTTTTATCCCTTTTCATATAAATGATGGATGAGGCCATAAAAAATTAAATGTGATGGTTAATTTTCTGTGTCAACTCAACTGGGCTAAGGGATGCCCAGATAGCTGGTGAAACATGATTTCTGGTGCATCTGTGAGGGTGCTTGGGGAAGAAATTAGCATTTGAATTGACAAAGTGAGTAAAGAATATCTGCCCTCCCCAGTGTGGCTGGGAATCATCCAATCCTCTGAGGCCCTGAGTAGGACAAAAAGGCAAGGAAGGGTGAATTCTCTCTCCCTCCCTTCTTGAGCTGGCACATCCAGCTTCTCCTGCCTTGGACCTTAGTGCTCCTGGTTCTGGAGCCTTGGACCCTGGACTTATACCAGCAATCCCCTCCTCACCTCTAATCCCTGGCTCTCAGAACTTCAGACTCCAACTGAATTACGTCATCAGTTCTGCTGGTTCTGCAGCTCACAGATGTCAAATCAGCAGACCACGGGGTTTCTCATCCTCTGTGTTCACATGAGCCACTTCTCATAATAAGCCTCCTCTTACACATCTGTGTATATCATATTGGCTCTGTTTCTCCAGAAAAACCTTAGCTAATGCCATGCTGGACCTAGCTAGTCACACACATACCTAGGAAAAAGCAGAATCATGGTTAAAATCTAGCTTCTGCTGATACCAAAGAGCAAGCTAATAGTTTCCTGCACAAGACTAAAAACTGTCATTTCTGTTATTAAAAAAAAATTTATCTAAAGGTACCACCTTCTCCCTCTTACACTCTTATTTTTGTAGTAATTATCATCATCAATCTCTCCCTAAAGAGGTGGATTGAGGAGCTGTGTTTTCATCTCCTTGTGAGGGCTGGAAAGACCAAGCACAGGCTTAACAAGCAGCAGTTATGTGGGAGTCAGGAGTGGATCTTGGTGTGTTCCCATGGAAAGCCCAGCATCCGCCTCACCAGCCCCTACTGTCTCAACTCTACCACCTTTCCTCAAAATAGAGATAAATGGAGAAGGGGAAGCAGAAGGAGGAGCCTGGAGATACACTGTTGGGGATACAAGGAAAAAAAACAGATGCAGTCCCTGCCCTTGGGGACAAAAGTGTTCAGTGGAAGGGACAGAGGATCATACAAAAGTACTTCTAAACAGTTATTAATTTAAGAGAATCCAACACTAACTTCGAGGCAATGAGATATTTGCAAAGTGAAATTCATGCAAAGAGTAGATTTGCAAAGTGAAATGTATGGAAAGAGCCGCTTCACGGTTCTATCACTTAAGAGATAATTGGGAACAAGCGGAGTAGGTGGAACCGATCAGCAGACACATCTCCTCACAGTCTAACCCAACAGTAGTCAGTAACCACTGACTGCTATTTGTCCTCCAAATAGCTAGGGGAGTAAATCAACAACAGCCAAACGAGCTACAGCTGGCTCTAGAAACCCTAGGAAGAAGCGGACATATCCTCAGCCTTCACTCCCTCTGCCAGCTCCTCCTTCCCAGGCCTGCAGTGCAGCCCTGTGCTCTCACTCCCCTCCTCCTTCGCCATATCCAAACTTGTCCTCAGAAAAACATGACCACATGGTGAGAAAATCACAGGACAAGAGCCCAAACTCTCGACGTCGTTCACAGCTCCTCCAGTTACCAGTTGGGTTCATTCATTCAGCCTCTCAGATCCTTAGTGGTGGTGATTTTCAAATGTAATAATACTTTCCATATCTTCATCACACTTTATAAGGATAATCCAACATGATGATAACTTTCAAAAGTACACTCATGAAGTGCTGAGATCGCTTGCATGTGAATATTTGTAACAGTATCTGGCACGCAGTAGGCATGTTGTATGTGGTAGAATCAAGTGGGCCTTAAGCTCCTTTACGTCTCTCAAACACTACAGTTGTGTGACTTTAGGTATTTCCTTCCCTTAGTAACAATTATATGGGAGAGATGAGCCCTTTGGGTGAGCTCAGGCTTCCTTGATGGTAACAAGAGAAAGGGAAAGCACTCAAGGGAATGAGCTGTCACCATTTCTGATAACTTGTCAATCATAAAGGGGAAACATACCAAGAGGATGAGTTCTACCATCCTTGGGTCCTTGGAATCCTTCTATGCAGAAATGGCCACCATTTACAAACATTTAAATTACTTACACTGACTACAGTAATAGCAGAAAAATGGGATCTGCATGCTCCATGAAGCTTCAATGCTTCTTGAGAAACTGCACAATCATTCTTATTTGCAACACAAGACTCTGAGCTGTCTTATTCATTTTCCAGTGTGCAAACCTCTTCCAACACCCCTCTGACTTTCCTACAAGAAGAAACAAGGAGAGGTTTATTCAGTCTTTGAAATTTCTCCTAAATGTCCAGTGGGACACATGAGATCGGCATTCACCCCTTCAATGAACTTTGGGAGGGTCTCACTCTCGGTTGCTCGTCATAAATTGTTAACTTGTGGAGGATGCCCAGTGATGGGAGTTGCCAGGTGAAGTCTTGCTCAGTTGAGTTACAAATGGAGATTCACTTCCATATGGTCACATTCTTAGAAAGAAGTAGCAGAGCAGGTATTTGAGTCAAGGAAATATGGCCTTAGAATCCTTTACTGGGTGGGGAGGATGAGGAATGGGTAGTTGGTCAAAGGGCACAAAATTTCAGTTAGGACAGGTAACTTCTGGAGATCTATTGTACCGTTGATGACTACAGTTAATAACACTACATTGCATACAGATGCTTATGTGGGGGCTGTGCATCATAAGATGAAAATATGTAGCCAAAAATGCATTTAAATATACCTAAACTACCAACATCATAGCTTAGCCTAGCCTACCCTAAATGTACTCAGAAAACTTACATTAGCCTGCAACTGGGCAAAGTCATCTAACACAAAGCCTGTTTTATAATAACGCATTAAATAGCTCAAGTAATTTATTGATGCTCGGTATGCATATGGCTTTCACACCACTGAAAAGAAAAAATGTTGCAAATTCAAGACCATTGAGAGAGTGCTCCTTAAATCTCCTGACCACACACACAATTAGCATGTGAGGTGATCAATATGTTAATTAGCCTGATTTAATCATTTTATTATGCAAATTCAACCACAACGAGATACCATCTCATGTCAGAATGGTGATCATTACAAAGTCAGGAGACAAGAGATGCTGGTGAGGATGTGGAGAAATAGGAACGCTTTTATACTGTTGGTGGGAGTGTAAATTAGTTCAACCATCGTGCAAGACAGGGTGGCGATTTCTCAAGGATCTAGAGCCAAAACTACCATTTGACCCAGCAATCCCATTACTGGGTATATGCCCAAAGGATTATAAATTATTCTATTATAAAGACACATGCACACGTATGTTTATTGCAGCACCATCCACAATAGCAATGACTTGGGATCAACAATGATACCCATCAATGATAGACTGGGTAAAGAAAATATGGTACATATATGCCATGAAATACTACGCAGCCACAAAAAAGGATGAGTTCATGTCCTTTGCAGGGACATGGATGAAGTTGGAAACCATCATTCTCAGCAAACTAACACAGGAACAGAAAACCAAACACCACATGTTCTCACTCGTAAGTGGGAGCTGAACAATGAGAACACATGGACACAGGGAGGGAACATCACACACCAGGGCCTGTCGGGGTTGGGAGGGAGAGCATTAGGAGAAACACCTAATATAGATGAGGAGTTGATAGGTGCAGCAAACCACCACGGCACCTGTATACCTATGTTACAAACCTGCACGTTCTACACATTTCCCAGAACTTAAAGTAAAATTTTAAAAGTTTCATTTTATATATTCACACACACAAACATCATATTGTATACTGTAAATATACACAATTTTAGTGTATTCATTATACCTCAATAAACCTGAGAGGGGGGAGAGAAATAAAAACCAAAATAAAAAGAAGATGTAATAACGCGCTAGATGAATTGCTGTCTTCTCAAGCCAGCCATTTCTTCTAACTTATCATTAGTCAAGAAATGCCCTGTACTACAATTGTTTCTGTCGATATTATGCTAGTTTACAGTAACAACATAATAAACGAACAAACTGTTTGGGGCTTAAAGTTATTGGACAAATTAGGTACCGTACGAAACCATTTCTAAGGACAAAGCTGTTAATTCACAATGTAATTGTAGCTTAAAAATAAAATTCTTTTCATCAGTCGCCCCTCCCCTCTCAGTCTCCCAGCAAAGAAAGACTATCCTATTAACTGCAACACTATAACCACAGGAGCAATCTAGCTCCTGATGAAGGAAGTGAGGATTTTTCCCAAAGCATGACAGCGGTAGGAAAGTGGAGAGAACACCTTCACCATCCACGACACTTGGCTGGGAAACAGCCCTGGATATTTTCAGGGATGAAAATGTCTGTTTCATTTTGTTGCATCTTTGAGAATAGGATGAAACTTCCGGGAAAGCTGAGCCCTTTGTCTGCTTTTGTTACCTCTCTTCTTGAGGGAAGTTTTTTCCTTTTGAGAAAAGTGACTCTAAAGACATCAGGTGAAGACAAAGACTGTTTTCTGCAGTCAGAGTCCCCTAGAGATTCCACACATACTAAGACTATCCTTTTATGAGAGGCATAGATGAAACGGAGAAGTGGGGGAAGCAGGGGCTTCTTGCAGACAGAGCTGGCATAGAATCATGGCTCTTCCTTTCTGAGCTATTTGACCTGGAGCCTCCTTTTATTTACTTGTAAAAGAAGGCAAATTCTATGTACCTTGCAGCGTTTTGAGAAGCAAATGGTAGGCATTCAGATAACACAATTTTCCCTTTTTATTCATCATGTTTTCTTTCTTCTTGTCTCCCTTTCACCTCTGCTCAGCCTTGTCTCTCAGACCCCTCAGGCATCCAATGTTCTTCCTTCCAGCTCCTTGTACTCATGTCTCCTGATGACAGTCCTTCGCTCCAGCCAGATAACCTTCTTACTCTGCTCTGCCTCCACCTAATAGAGCACCCCACACTTACTTCATCACCAAACCTCCGGGGCTTCAAAAGCTCACCTCTCTCCTTCCTGCAGAATGACCAACATCACTTCCTCACTCAGTCTTGCTTTGGTGCATTAGTTGATGACATTTCCCACGCAGGCTTCTCAGACTTCTAAGCTTGGTTCCGTAACCCTGTCCAAGGAGCTTTCTATGACAAGGCGTCATTAGCTGAGTTATCAGGGACATGTCTTTACTGAGGTTGGCAGACCCTGGATAGGAGAGTTAAGGATGATGGGGTGGGCTGCAGGCCCAGCACTTGGCAAATCAGGAGGGGGTTTACTTGGAGCAACTTAGCTGAGGAACTGGACATCTGCCTTTGAGGGTGGGAACATGGCAGAGCAGGATTCTGGCTACTCAAGGATAGAGCTACTGGGCAGGGAACTAGAGCTGGGGACCAGACAGGTACCCTGTAATACAGAACTACGAGAAGGACAGAGAAAGGCCAGCTGGAAACTGGACACTGACGCCAAGCCTTTGACCTGCTACTGGCCTGTGTAGGTTCTGAGCTGTCCTGTACACCATGGGGACTGTGATTCATTATCTATTGCGGCTGTAACTAATTACTACAGGCTCAGCAGTTTAGGAAAACACAAATTTATTATCTTGCCATTTCTGTAGGTCAGAAGTTCAACACAAGTCTCACCAGGTTAAATCCATAGGCCACATTCCTTTCTGGAAGCTCTGGGGAAGAACCCATTTCCAAGCTCACTCGGGTTATTGGCTGAATTCAATTTCTTGTGGTTGTTCAGACTGAGGTCCCCACTTCCTTGCTGGCCACCAGCTAAGGGTCACCCTCAGCTCCTAGGAACTCCTCTCAAGTCCTTACACATGGGTCCCTGCATCTCAGAGCCTGCAATCATGCAGTGATTCCTCTTCAAGCTTGCAGTCTCTCATGCCCATCTGCTACACCTCTCTGGCTTCAGCTGGGCAAGGTTCTCTATTTTCGAGGGCTCATGTGATGACAGTGGCCCACAGAAACTTTAATCTAGGATAAGTTTCCTCTATTAAGGTCCATGTTTTTTTGTTTTTTTTTTTTTTTTTGAGATGGAGTTTCGCTCATTACCCAGGCTGGAGTGCATGGCGCCATCTCGGCTCACCGCAACCTCCACCTCCTGGGTTCAGGCAATTCTCCTACCTCAGCCTCCTGAGTAGCTGGGATTACAGGCACGCGCCACCACGCCCAGCTAATTTTTTGTATTTTTAGTAGAGACGGGGTTTCACCATGTTCACCAGGATGGTCTCGATCTCTTGACCTCGTGATCCACCCGCCTCGGCCTCCCAAAGTGCTGGGATTACAGGCATGAGCCACCGCATCCGGCCTAAGGTCCATGATTTTAATCACATCTGCAAAGTTTCCTTTCCGTGTAAGGTAACACATTCACAGGTTCCAGGGATTAGGGTGACGGCATCTTTGTGAGAGGTACCACTCAGCTACCACGGGGGCCATGAGCCCAGTGATAAGCACTTAGCAGTTCTATCTGTGATTATTAGAAGGTCATGGGGCAGGAAGTTCAATGAGTCATTATAACCAGCTTTACTCTATGTTCCCTTGACACTAGAGCCTAGAGTTTATTTTGAATTCGATTATATTTGTTTCTCTATTGGTTAAAATGTGTGTGTTTTGGAGGCTGTGTCTAGACTGTCGTGTGTGCACGCACAAAGGAGGAATCACTACTGTAGGATATGATTTAAGGAGCTCCGCAAAACTTCCTTCTCTCATGCCCCAAGGGTGCCTGAAACCTTATTATTTAAGAATAATCCCTTTGGTTTACTAGAGGCATTAGAGCTCCATGAAGTCTCTCTGAACATGTAAATTCTTCTTGGAAGGTTAAGGTCTATGTCAAGGCCTTATGAGCATGGAAACTTGGATACCTTGCCTGGGAGAGACTGGATTTGCCCAAGTTCCCACAGAAAGTTAGAAGCTGGAATTGCAGCAAAGTCCTCCCTGGCTGGACTTGGACCGCTCGACCTCCCTACCGGGAAGTACAGGTTGTCCAGTCCTGTTTCCCGGCATTCTCTCATGCCACTTTCTGATGGTCAGTCTTACGTATCAGCCTTGCCACACCACAGCACTTGGTTATTTAATCAAACCCTAATCCATGTTCCTTTGAAGGTATTTTGTAGTTGGGATTAACATCTACAGTCTAACTTTAAATAAAGGAGATTATCTTCTGTAATGTGGGCAAGCATCATCCAATCAGATGGCCTTAAGAGCATGTCTTATTCTGCTCAAGCTGCCGTAATAAAATTCTGTACATGGGGCAGCTTAAACAACAGAAATTTATTCTCACAGTTCTGGAGGCCGAGAAGTCCAAGATCATTGTACCAGCTGATTCCGTTTCTGGGGAGGGTCCTCTTCCTGGCTTGCAGGTGGCAGTTCTCTTGCTGTGTTCTCTCTGGTGTCTCTTCCTATAATGCCACTGATCACACCATGAGGGCCCCACCCTCTCGACCTCATCTAACTCTAATTACCTCACAAAGGTTCTATTTCCATGTGAATTTTGTGAAGGATGCATTCAGTTCATTACTGAGCAAAAACTAAGGCTTCCCTGAGAGCGAATTCTGCCTCAAGACTGCAAGACTGCTGTGTTTTCTGCCCTACAGATTTTGAATTTTCCAGTCCCCACAATAATGAAGCCAGCTCCATAAAAATCGCAAAATTTCTATCTGTTCATTCTCTCTATCTGTCTGTCTGTCTCTCTCTCTCTATCTCTCTCTCTCTCTCTCTCTCTCCCTCTGCTACTAGCTAGTCAGCCCTCTGTATCTGTGGGTTCCACATTCACAAATTCAACCACCTGTGGATCATAAACATTGGGGAAAAAATGATAAAAATAACAATAGAACAATAAAAAGTAATGCAACATAACAACTATTTGCATCACATTATGTATTATTAAGTAATGCAGAGATGGTTTAAAGTATACAGGGGGAGGTGCACGGGTTATATACAAATACTATGCCGTTTTATATCAGGGACTTAAGCATCCACAGCTTTTGGTCTCCTCGGGGGGTCCTAGAGCCAATTCCCCCTGAATACCAAGGGACGGCTGTATGTCCTATCAGCTCCGTTTCTGTGGAGATCCTCAACTGTAACAGGCTTAGAAGTCGATTTTCAGTAAATAATTATCTGCCCTTCATATTCAGGCCAGGATTAGTTTAAATTAGTCAGAATAAAGAAGTTTAAAATACAGTGTACCTTTAATTCAGTAGGAGCAAGAAAATCTCATCTTCCTGTGAGATCAAACTCCAAACTCTCTACCATCCACTATTCCTATTTTCTCAACAGAGGCTTCTCAGTGGAGTTTTTATTGGTGAGGTTCACTGAGAACTGCTTTGTCAATAGTGACTGCCACTTGACACTCTAAAAAATAATATAACAGAATAGTCAACACTTTATTAAGCATATTTCTTTATTCTTAGTCCTTGCATTTTTAGAAATTTAGAAAAACAAGTTGGAAAACAGAGAAAGATTATTGCAGCATAATTCATAATAACCAAGATAGAAAATCAACCTAAGTGTCCACAGTGGATGAAGGAATAGAGAAGATTAGTTCTTCTATCCAATGGAGTACTATGCAGCCATATAAAGAAGGAAGTCCTGTCATTCACGGCAACAAGGATGAAACTGGAGGACATTCCATTACATGAATAAGTCAGGCACAGAAAAGCAAATCACAGATGGTCTCACTCATATGTACAGTCTAAAAAGGTTGAGTTCATAGAAATGGAAATAGTGTTTACCAGAAGCTGGGCAGTTGAAGGGTGGGGGTGGGGGAGAGGTTGGTTAAAAGACAAAATTTCACCTGAGCAGGAGTAAGTTCAATAGACTTGTGCAACATGCTGACCATCGTTAATAACACACTATATTCTTGAAAAAATGCTAAGAGAGTGCATATTAATAGACTTGTGCAACATGCTGACCATCGTTAATAACACACTATATTCTTGAAAAAATGCTAAGAGAGTGCTTATTAAGTGTTCTCACCACAAAAATTGTAACTGTGTGAGGTAATGTGTATTTTAGTTAGATTTACTCATTCACAATGTGTGTGTGTGTGTATATATATATATATATATATATATATATATAGCAAAACATCATGTTATACATGATAAATACATATAACTTCACCTGTCAATTTAAAGAGGAAAATAATAAATAAATAAAAGGAGATAAAGGCACGTGAAGGGTGCATAGCGCACCTCTGAGGGATTTATTTTCTTTCATCTTTTCCAATTTATATCTCTTTCTTCAGGGTTTTTTTTTTTTTTTTGAGATGGAGTTTCACTCTTGTCATCCAGGCTCAAGTGCAATGATGCGATCTCAACTCACTGCAACCTCCACCTCCCAGGTTCAAGCAATTCTCCTGCTTCAACCTACCAAGTAGCTGGGATTACAGGCATGTACCACCATGTCCAGATAATTTTGGTATTTTTAGAAGAGACAGGGTTTCACCATGTTGCCCGGGCTGGTCTCGAACTCCTGACCTCAGCTGATTCGCCCACCTCAGCCTCTCAAAGAGCTCAGATTACAGGTGTGAGCCACGTACCTGGCCTGTTTCTTCAGACATTAACTCTCTATCAGTCTTCTTACTGTTCACATGGACTGTTTGATTGAGGCTTCATCTTGCTGATGTGTTAGATACCACTTTTGAAGAGATGAAGGGCAAATTACTATTAATAATATTAATGATGCATTGCAGTGGTGTGGCTTTGTATCTCAGACAGCACTTTCATGTGCTTTATTTCAGTTCATCCTTTTCTGTTTTTTTTTTTTTATTTGAGACAGAGTTTTGCTCTTATCACCCAGGCTGGAGTGCAACGGCGCAATCTTGGCTCACTGCAAACTCCGCCTCCTGGGTTCAAACAATTCTCCTGCCTCAGCCACCCAAGTAGCTGGAATTACAGGCGCACACCACCACATCCAGCTAATTTTTGTATTTTTAATAGAAAAGCGGTTTCATCATGTTGGCCAGACTGGTCTCAAACTCCTGGCCTCAGGTGATCCATCCACCTTGGCCTCCCAAAGTGCTGGGATTATAGGAGTGAGCCACCACACCCAGCCACTCCGTTCATTCAATTCATGCTTTAAACATTTCCGTACTGTAGGGAAGGCTTTCTACAATATACTCTTGACATTTATGAGTGATTTTTTCCAGAAGCCTTCTCGGATCTTTAAAAATCAGTGATTTCCCCCATAAAATGGAACAAAATGTACCTGAAAGGCTTAAAGAATAACTTCAGACTTGATAAAAAGAGAACAACGTCATGATGAGGAAGAAGCTAGAGTGCCAGGCACTGAGCTCAGAGCTACGCTTCCAGCCCAAGGCCTCGGAGAACTTCTCGCCTGTGACCAGTGGCCCTCACTTAGCCTCTCAACCCATTTCAGCCACTGTCTCTTCCTGGCCATGTTGTGGCCATCAATCACCTGTGACGGTGGAGACTCAGGAGGCTGAATTTCCCAGGTCCTGCAGGGATGGTGAACTGTCATGGTTCACTGTCAACATTTCCCTACACCACCCACTTTGGCAGATGTCCCTCATTATTTATGGAAATACTTCCTAGTCACCTCTGAACTTGGCCTCCAATCCTTCTTTGGCACCGTGTTCTAAGCAGCCATGACCAATCACTTAGAATTGGTGCGAGGCTTGCTCTCTCATCACTCGGGTGCTGTATTAGTATTCTGCCATCTAAGGTAACCAGAAGGATTCTACCGACTTAACCAGGCTCAGAGAACTGTGAGACATCAGAATGGGAAGTGCCCTTGGAGACTGAGAAAAATCCTTTATATAATAAATGGAAATAAAGCAGTGTGGATCACCCAGGGGAATCTATGGAACAGGACCAGAGCTACATTTCCTGCCCAGTCACCTAGGAATGTTATTAACAGGCTTTCCAAAGAAGAGGCTGGGCGTGGTGACTCATGCCTATAATCCCAGCACTTTGTGGGGGCTGAGGTGGATGGATCACTTGAGGCCAAGTGTTTGAGACCAGCCTGGTCAACATGGAGAAATCTCGTCTCTACTCAAACTACAAAAATTAGTCAGGCTTGGTGGCACATACCTGTAATCCCAGCTACTCGGGTGGCTGAGGCAGGAAAATGACTTGAACCCAGGAGGCAGAGTTTGCAGTGAGCTGAGATGGAGCCACTGCACTCCAGTTTGGGTGACAGAGTGAGACTCCAGCTCAAAAGAAAAAAAAAGAAGAAGAAAAGATAATCCCCTTGTTCTCCCCATTCTTCACTATAAAATTATAGATCATCTGAGTCAAAAGGAAACCTAGTGCCCCCTCGACCCCACTTCCCATCTACCACACCACGGTCAGAATGCATCCAGCATCAGGGAGTCCTTGTCCAGAACCCTTTCCATTTTGCGTCCTAAGTGAATTAAAATCTTCCTCCCTAGAGCTCTCAACATTTGGCCCTAGTTTTTCCCTTTACAAACTGGTGAATGTATGTCTTTCCCTGGGAGGAAAGAAGTTTAATTTAGTTAAATGCATTGATCTCCAGATGGCTCCTACGACGTAAATCAAACGGTGACCATCCTGAGCACGATTCCGGGTGGGTGGGAAATATTTTTAGGTGAATTGATGTTCCATGGGGGACTTTAACACAGCTTCGAGACAGCTGTTTTCTCCTGCAGAAAGAGCCGGGCCTGGGCTCCCAGGAGCACCAGCCCTGAGAGGGGCACCTGGAGCCAGAAAGCCGCAGGCAGGCTGCTGTCACTCAGGCTGCCGTGGAGGGTCCCTGTCTGTCCATCATCCAGATGTCACCTTAAAAGTACTTTCTGAGGGTGAAAATGGCTTCCTCTAGGCATGTGAGCTTCTCCCCATCTGCATTTTGATGGATGGCAATTTTTTCCCACAATGTAAGCCATTTGACATGAAGAGTGTGCTTTGCCAAGGCACATTTGAACTGATCGTTCGCCATCAGCTTTTGACAAAGCTACATATTATCGGAAATACCAAAGGCGCAGCTCTCCTCTCCGCTATAACTCACCAAGCATATTAGGCCCTGAAATTCTAATACCTCATTTTCATGACAAACGATGCAACAAGAGCCCAAAATGGCTGCCATGAATCTCCGTGGCTGGCTGGGATCGCCCTCGGAGAAGGAAAGTGCCGAACACTTAACCTCTGCTCCAGCACGTGGCTGCCTGAGCCACCGGGGACAGCGGGCCGTTTGCACGGCTCTGGCGCCCTGGTAACTTGGAGCGGACTGAATTCTGAATCACAGCAAGGAGCACGTGAGCACACGGGAGGGGAGCAGTCACCCCACGTGGCCCTGAACACGAGGCCTTGGTGCAGAAGTGACTGACAGCTGCAGGAGTGAAGGTTTCCCATTGAAGCAGCACATTCATCCCGGTTGAAGATGCCTCTCCAGGGGACCGGTAAGAGCATCGG